CCCCCCTTTAGTCCACATTCGCTCACTTCTAAGAGCATGCTGTCAAGGTGATGCTTAAACTGAACCACTCTCAGTCCATTTCTACCACCACTGCTGTAATCAGTGGAAGTGAAAGTGTGCTTACAATGCTAGAGATGAAACCTGGGAGCATGATGAGAGGCCATCCATATGTCCTATGAATGACCACACCCTGTATCATTCTGTCCATCTGAGCTTAATCCATATATACATCAATCATACACACTCGGTTACACTCACAAACACTCAAAGAACTCGTTACCATCAAAGTGCAAACAAAACATAATAGGTACTCTTCCTTTGCCTTTAGAAGACAGGAGAAAGAAAACATTCTTCATATAGTCAAATCTACAATTATAGCAGCCTAAAAGGATAAAATGGAAGCTGAATAAGGTGCTTTAGCTTGTGCCTTCCTGGTGCTGTGACAATAGATGATGATGTGCATAGCACTGATCTCAGACCAGTTCAGCTCGTTCTCAAAGTCAGATTTTACAACTTGCAAGAATAAACTAAACTAGTCATTGATCTGCATTCATGAACACTTCTAGCTACAGCACATACAGCAGGAAGGCGGGTTGGGGATGGAGAGATGAGGGAATGGGAATGTCAGACATCAGGAAGTGGGAAGGGGTTCAGGCAGACAGGTTGTTGGCCAGATCGATGAGTGCCAGAGCACCATGAAGACGCTCTCGCTGCTCCTGGAGGCGGCGTTTGGCGGCTCCTCCCTGGCTCCCCTTCTCCTCCTCTGCTGGTTCTTCATCTTCCTCGTTCTCTTCATCGGACTGGAGGTACTCCATGGGGTCCTGCTGCTCCTGGTCCTCTGCTCTGGACTTGCCCTGTGTCTTCCCCTTGGTGGTTGTGGGGACACGCTGCTCACGGGTTTGCCAGTACCTACAGCAACAGAAAAGACAATATTAACTTACAAAGTAGACAGGAAATCCGATTAAAAGCACAATAGAAGTTCTTCTATGCACACTTTTTTTAAACAGTGGCTCCACTTACTTTGCTAGCCACTCAGCCACAGCCTTGTTATCCACAGACTGAGCCTTCTCCTGGTCCTCCTTTGGTTCCTCTCGCTTCAGACGGGAGTAAGGGTGCTTGGGACAGTGACGGTTGGCATGTGTGAACCGATTGCCACATCCTGAAAAAAGAGAAGCAGGTAGTGCAGTAGCCGTTAGAGGCCATGTTTCTCTGTGATTTTAGAATAGTTAAGATGCACAATGTATGACCTATGTGGTTTCTAAAGACTCACAGTTTTGCTATGCATTTTTTTCTAGTCAAAAGGATAACAATAATGAGGTACTTTCCACTGCTTTAAATATAAGAGAACCAGTTAAAAGCTCCAGTCAGACAAACGTACTGAGCATGCTACTGGAATGAATCCAAAAGTGAAAGGTCCTAAAAGTTCGACTTGTTTTTCTAAAAGCAGAACAACTGCACTTTAATAATGACAGGTCTTTTATAAAAATCCACAAACCCACCTTTCTCCGAGCAGACAAAGGGTTTTTCCCCAGTGTGCAGCCGCTGGTGGGTCTTCAGCTGACCACTCTGCACAAACGCCTTTGTACAGTTTGGGTAGTCACACAGATAGGGCCTCTCTCCTGAGGGGGGAAATAGATGTATTGTTAAGACAACAGCATATCAAGTTTATAGTCAAATTATTACACAGTGCTACTTATATGATACACACATACAGCCCCTACTTTAAAATGAGAACACTAAAGCCAGAAAGTTGAGATTAGGTGCTAGGAGGTCAATTGTTTTCGGCTTTAACAAGACGTCTTTTTGACCATTAGCCATGTAATTATATACAACGCTAATGTCCAGTGCCCCTATCATTCTGTCTCTCTCACCTGTGTGTGTCCTCTTGTGAGCCTGCAGAGACTTTTCTCTGGGAAACACACGGTTGCATATGTTACAGCGAATGCGACTGGCAGAAGTCTCCCCCTCGTTGATGAGCTCTCGGACAGTGTCAGCCCGGGGACGCCCTCTGCGGATGCCATCCTGACAGAAATAATAAAAATAATTGTTATGTTAGCTCGACCACTACCTTACGTTCTTATTTTTATAATATCCATCAGCCTTAGGAAAATGCAGGACATCATTTGTACATACATTAATTTATGATTTTAAACATTGAAAACAAATATAATTACAATTCTGAAATATATTAAAACTGGCATATCATCTCACTCATTATTTTATTATATATGCATATGTATTAATTCATTTGATTATTATAAATAGATATTAAGAACACTGCAGATTTACACTATATCATACAATGCAACATCATGTATTTTTTTTTAGCTGTGCTCACGTGTTACATTGTAACAGGATGCACGTTTGGCCATTATAATCCATTCACATCCGGTTACATTTTGGCGCGCGACTAGACGTCATGTATGAGCAGCTGCTCCATAATCAGGAAGTAACTGGGGTTTAAAATCCACCATGTCACACCCTATTGCGCGGGCGATTTTTTAAATGACTCTCAACGCCGGCCATGTTAAGACTAACTTGCTTTAAACAGTTTCCCCTACTTTAAATTATACATTAACAGTTATTTACCTCTAAAGAGTATACACCTCGCCTAGTAGCTCAGTTTCGAATAGTTCATGTCTTAAAAAGATGTCAACACCATGTTGCATGTAGGCTGCTCTCTTTTTCATAAAGTTGCTGTTGTTACAAACAGTGTAACAGTGCTGTTGTAACCATGCATTGCATTACAGTGTCGTCATCATGTATTCCGAAAGAGCAATAACTATATTAAAGACATTTATATAGGTTTCGATTTTGTAACTTCATGTGCCATACTACACGTTGTGCTGAGTAACTCTACGGTTAAATAAGTGAGACTTACCCTGATCTGCTCAGGTGTTGGCTCCGTGTCCGCTTCTCTGGCAGTCTGGGCTCCGGTGGGTGAGGAAGCACCGCTCACTGAGCCCGGGCTCAGAGACACATTGTGGGCGTTCTCCCCCCATTTCCACGGGTAGACCATGAAGTCACTGAATCCGGGACTTGTCGGAGTCAGGGCCTCAGCTCTCCTGGGTTTGATCGGCGTGGTCTTAATAACAGACACCAAAACTCTTTTAGGCGAGTCGTTGCAGAAAATAACGTGCGGGTGCTTGTTATCGGCCATCATGTGGGTGTCGAAACTCCGGTAAAAGCAAGAAAAACTGCAGAAGCTGTACCTCTTCCTTAGTGATTAGCTTAAAGAATGAATGAATGAAAGTCATAAATATGTCGCTTTTTCAATCCGGAGTGAATATGTCCTTCATTTCCAAAGTCGTAAATAAAGATCTTGGATCCGTTGTTCGCTGCAAAGTATCCGCAGAATATACAGTTGCATGTAAAGATGGTTAGTTTCCTTCTCGCCGCAGCGGGTCGTCCGAACTGACCTGTGCGCCCACAGGAGCGTTGTCCCGCGTTGCAAAATCGCGCCTGAGCAGTGGACTGACCAATCAGCTGCATGGATCAGACCCCACATGTCAGAAGTAACCAATGGCAGCACCCTTTTGGATCCACCTTAGAAGCCTGTGGGCCAATAGGAGAAAGAGGGATCGCACTTCCTGCAAAGATTGGTCGCAACGTTTTTATCCAATGATATTTAAACACTTGACGCGCGCTTTTTCACGCTGAAACGAGCATTGGCCAATCAAGTCGAGCAGAACCCACGTTTGGCCGCGACGGAGCCAATGAGAGTGAAGGGCGGCTAATTCTACATCGCAGAGGAGCAGATGGCTCTTTCCCGCGCTGGGGAGTCTGTTTATGTTATTACATTTTTGGTCAATTTAAAGGGAAAGGATCTGTGGCTCAGAGGCGCCAAAGTTACGTAATCAGGGCGGAAATACTTGAACAAAGGGTGTACTGTGTAAGAGAAAAAGAAATAGAAACTTAGTGTGATTGAAAGAAAAAAGGTGTTAGTGTTACATTTAGGAAAAATACAATTTAGCCACAACTTCTCTCTGTTTACACACACTAAATATTATGTTTCCAAATTGGTTTCACAAGATGAAAATATAGGCTATCTTCACACAACACGTGCTGGACATAAGAACACCAAGACTTTAATTTATGATGCCATCACTTTTTGATTAACTGCATACAATGACTTTCATTTTATTGTAGAAGTAACACCAATGACTAAGTACCACCAATATAAAAGACTATTTAACAAATATAAAGTGTAAAGTAATAGTGTCTTGAGATGTTACCACTAATAAAGCCAGTTTGTTTGGATTTATTTGCCTCTTTACTGTTGGGCAGTCTGTCTGTCTTTGACTCATACAAAGTCATCCTAAAAATCCAAATAACCCTACTGCAATGTACAATGTGCATTTAAAAATCATGCATAAGTGTAATTGAAACTGCCCATATAACTGCATTTAGAGGCCTGTATGCTAAACTATTAGTGATTCATGACATGTACAATATCAATACTGTAACAGGTAAGTAAATATGATTTGGCTCCCAAACCCCATGTACCTCGAGACTGTAGGTTGAACACCATTGACTTGCACTTTCTCATTTGACCACTAGATGGGGTTAAACAGACCTATTGCGGGTGACAAAGCTAATTCAAGGTTAAGGTTTGTTTATCTTATTTCATCATACATCTTATCCAACTATAGCTACAAATATAATACTATAATGTTGGGGGGATAATTGATTACATTTACAAATGAAAACGACCAAATCGTTTTCAGATTATTATTGTGATGCTTTGATGGGCCTGTGAAAAGCCTGTTTGACCTGAGCAGGTTACTCTGGTACACGAGTCAGATTTTGGAGAGAAGTTGTTTGCTACAGCTGCTGTCACATAACTTTACAAGTAGTCTAACCAGAAAAGTCCTAGTCAATGAAAATGCTTCCATAAAAATAGAACTCAGGGAACATAGCATGCAACTAAACGTAAAAGGTTTAAAACTTAGTATTTTACATTAAATGTTATGCATTTATTTTTCCATCGAAAACAAATATGGCAACCATTCCATTCCATTCCAGTGTCAGTTGAATTCTAACACAGAGAAATGTTGTCAGTAGTTTTTGCCAACACAGAGACATTTTGTCAGTAGTTTATAGAATAAAGTAAAACAACATTAATTTTACTCAAACACATGTGTATGTATACCTATGCATAGTACAACCAGAGAAACTGATAATGCTGTAGTGGTCTCTTGTTTGTTTTTTTACAGAGCTTTATGTACAATTCCTTTGGACACTTCCTGTGCCATTTTGAACAGCGACACACACAGTCCAATCAGCATTAATGAGCACGGGGCGTGGTCGCTGATCTGCATACGTGCAAACATTTAAATGTGTAGACACTGCTGCTGGCATTAGCTGGATGTTCACTGACACAGCAAAGTACTGTCTGCAGCTCTGCTTTGTACGAAAACGGTTGTTTTGCTGAGTGGTAATTGCAAGATATGTGTACATCTTGAGGAGGAGGGAATCAGCTTTTCTCGTCATACACAGGCTAAAATGCTCCCGGACGCATTTGGGTGCGCTGTGGCGAACAGGTATGGGGATCTTCTGGATGACGATGCTGACCCCTTCGACTTAATAACTAAAGCAGAAATCGAGAAGGCCAAAAAGAAAAAGAAGGACAACGAGGAGAAGAAAGCCAAGCCGAAAAAACCTGGGCAGAAGGAGTCCCAGAAGGACAGACGCGTCCCTGTTGCTCCGGAGGGCCCCGACCCGGCTCCAGGTTAGCTAAACTCCTATCTGCATTATCTAAGAGAGCTGCTGGTATTTCTACCTCGGAGAGTCCAGCCTAGACTGGGCGATTTGCTTGGCTTTGTCATCTACTGATGTTGCAATGACAATGGGGGTTGAGCACATGTTCATGCTGTCAGGCTGGGTTTCAACTTGGTATCTAAAGTTGGTATCTTTTTTTGTTTAGTTGTGTAGCACATTTTAAACTGTATACATATGCATACTTTATATGCGGTATGTTAGTCAGTCAACAAATGATTTCGTTGCAAACAACTTGTTTGTGTGCAATTATTCCCTTCAACTGAGCTCTCTTGGTATTGTTTGTTTTCCCTTTTTTTGCATGATATCAGACCATCCTTTCCTTTTTGTAGAATGGCAGTTTGAGTGGGTTTAAGCAGTATACATGTATTTAAATCAGGGCTAAGAACTTACTGGAAGTAAGAACTTACTGGAAAGCCTTAAACACACACACACACACACACACTTATATATTATACACATTATGTATTAATATTATTATACATATGTTATATATATCCACACTGTAATATGTGTTTTTGTTTTGATTACTGGTTCAAACAAGGCAATTTACTCAATTTGCCTGATCAACTCTTTGGTTATTGAGGTTATTCGTAAACTTTTCAACAAAAGAAAGTGATAACGGTAACACAATTGAACAGCACACTATCTCACTTTCTCTTCCTCAGTCCGTAAGCAGCCGCTCCAGCAGCAGCAGCAGCAGCAGCAACAGCCCCCACAGCAAGGACGTCCTGGACCAGTAACTGAGAGTGGGTATGGTCGAGGGGAGTCCCAGAGGAACACAAAGAGGCCTGCTTTTGGGGAGCGCAGGGCCAACCAAGACGAGTACCCACAGGATTTTTCCATCCCTAAGTATGTATTCTCCAACTGAGGCTTTAACTCAACTCTCCATATTGGTTTCTTTTCGCATCATCTGTTTTACAGGACCACTGCTGTTAAAAAAATGTACAAATCATGTCCCTCAAGTGCATGCAATAATCAGATGAAGAGACATTTCACATCTGATTGTTCTCCTCGCTAAGTAAAGATTGAAAGAGGAAATTATGCGATTCTTCAAAAAACGAAATGAGTAATGAAAGGCACCCTTGTTTTATTCAAAACACTAACGTCACTAAAGTCAAAGGAATGACTTGTATTTTTTGTTTTCAAATGATCCCCAGGCCTTACTATAATACAGAGTCCGATCAAGGGGGCAGAGGGGGCTTCAGAGGTAGAAGAGAAGGGAGAGGTGGAGGGTTTGCGAGGATCTCCGAGAACTTCAACCCGAGGGGCAAGAGAGGTTATGATCGACACAGCGGAACGTAAGCCTCTTTGTTCATGCAGCAGTTTACTCCAGTACAGCTTATTGGTGGTGTTTTTGATAATTTTGCTTTTAACCTGCTTTGCAGAGGTATCTCTCCTGAGGAAAAGCGAGGAGGCAGAGGACCCTGGAACTGGGGCAGTGCTGAAGAAAATACAGGGTACGTGACATGCCATTAACATGAAATATATCAGTCTTTTGCACAATTTGGATATCTTTTATGTTTGTCGTATCTCATTTTTGAAGTGAATTAATGGAGGTTACCCCTGATGCTTTGACCAAATCTGAGGATAAGATTCCTGCTGAGGATGATAATCAGTATCGGTGAGTAAAGCACACAAACACCTTTCTTATGAATTAAATCTGTGCCACATGACCTGGTTTAGTGGCTTATTTAACAGTCAATACATACGGTTTATCATACCTGTTGTGTTTTTGCATAGATAAATTAAAGGCAGTAATTGATGGTGAGACCAAATTAAAACATTTTTAGGGTTTAACTTGGCAGTTGGATCATTTGCAATTAGAATCACACACATAATTCATCACATGTTTGACTTTTTCGCATGAAAGTTGTTTTTCTGCTTCAGCAGTGCTATACATGTTAAATTTGACTTGCAATCAAATGTGTTAATGAAAAGTGTGTTTATGAAAAAAACTAAGTAATCTGCCATCTTCTTATTTTGTGGATACATTGTTAGTTCTCAGGTTCAGCAACAAGGTGATCAAATAATAACAAATGCCAGTCAAATAAAAATCTGTTAATTTCTTTCAAGAGAGCCTGTATTTGGCAATGTTTATTTAAATGTAAAGGTGTCAAAATAAAGTAGATTGACAGATGTAGTTTGTTCCAAATTGTAGCACAGAAGAGGATGGAGAGATGGTGGTCCATGTTGCCGTGGAGATGACCCTGGACGAGTGGAAGGCGCTGCAGGCGACAAGTCGTCCCAAGGCAGACTTTAATATCCGCAAAGCAGAGGACCAGATTCCCACCAAAGCCAAGGTCATCCACAAGTCAAAGAAGGTGGAGGTGAGAGTGCACTTAATAGGATCTGTTGGAAGAAAAGCCAAAGCCTGATCGCACTGGAGCGGTGATCAGGACTGACTAGACTGATCAAACAACATTGTATGCTTCATCATCTAGCAGTAACCTTCCGTTGTAAAAATGAACACTCAAAAAGAAAACCTAGACCAAGCGTTCACACCATTTAGCTGGAGATGCTGTTGTGTTGTTAATGTCAATTTAAAGGTTTTGGACTTCATTTACCGTTTGTCTCCAACCTTTAGATCATAAAGGAGGGGATCCTTGAAGAAGTGGAGGATGACAGCCACTTCCTGCGTAGGTCCGTGAATGACATCACCTCCCTTCTGGATATCAATTTCGGGAGTCTTGGACGTCCCAGTCGTGGGGGTCGAGGAAGGGGAGCACGAGGTGGTCCGGCTACTCGCCCAGAGAGAGCTAAACCCGTGTTTGAGAGGGTATGTCCTCGACTCTTTATTTTTGCTTGATTAGAATCTTAAGATACAAAATGGAGGATACCTCAGTGGAAGAGCACAGGCACACCTTTTTATAAAATATGCTTTTAGCAACTAAACGTTCTTTAAAAAAAATACATTTAAGCGTTTTAATAACTAAACATTTAAATGTCTTAGTTTATTCAGTAAATGTTATGGGGGCTAATGGTAAGACCGTTTTTTTATTTATCTTTAGTGTTGCTTTATTTGTTTGACTTAACAACAGGAAATTATAAGTCAATATGCTGACATGTGGAGATCAAATATGTAAACATTAGCAATCTTTTGACACAATTTTTTGTACTTACTAAATGTCATTCATGTGTGCGATTTGTTCTCCCACTAGGAGGAGGACCCGGCTCCTAACCCCGATGACCCAGAAGACTTCCCAGCACTGTGTGCAGGAAAATAACTGAGTTCAATTCTCCTGTGGGGAATAGTGGTTGCACTTAACAATGTTAAAAACACAAACATTTAATGTCTCTACTGTTCTTAAGGTTGGGGTTTTATTGTACTTGATTAATTTTGTTCTGTTGCACTGTTCGGCATTTGGAGAATAAATGCTTTTGCAAGTTTATCTTGGAGCTGCTTTTTATTTTAGAATGCCACGCTGGGATTACTTGAAATGTGAGGTTTGGATAAATGGACCTGTGATGTCTTTTGTAAAATCAGCTTAACAGAATAGTGTTACTATGACTTGGCGTTAAAAAAAAAACACAATTGTTTTAAAATTAAATTGGAGAACAGATTAAATTGAGAAACAACAATCAACTTGAAACTGTTTAATGCATCTTGTTATAATAAGCATTTGCTACAAAGACTAAAAGCCAGTACAGTTAAATTTGAAAAGTCTGATTCTATAGTATGTGCTTTAAGCTAATGTTCTCAGTGGATTATGAACATGAGTTGGACAAAGCCCCGTTAGGACCATACAATTATTTCATAGCATGATTTAAACATAGTACAAAATAGTTAAAAAATACAAACTGAGTATATCAAATTGACAGTCTTATTTACAGTCTTGAAATACAGTAGCTGAAAGCTTCACAAGTATGGAGAGTGGAGGTACAGATGAGCACAGTATGTATCTTGTGATGGACTTTGTTGTTCTACCACCTGTATACTGCCTTCTCATAGGACCAAGAGCAGGTTTTTAGGCCGTACTCCTAAAAGAATCTACATATCGCATTTTTGAAGTAGAAAAGGTGCTGCACAGTGCTCATTTAGGATGATATCTTTTAGATTCACATGCTAGTTTGCTACAGCATGCTTCAATAAGTAGGAACAACCAGGCAATGATTATAAATCTGTATGTATTGATGCTTTGTAAAAAATATAAAACAAAAGTGCCTTACGGGTAAAATAACTTGTAATAAAAGTCTATAAAATGATTTACATGTCACATCAAGTTGTTAAATGTTTGTTTCAAACTTAATTAAAATGCTAGTACAGCTGTGTAGAGGTTGGATTTCATGTGAAGTTCCTCAGTGTTTCCAGATCGGCTCACCGGAGCAGAGGAGCTCTAGCTTTGGGTATGGAATGACTAAAGAAAAGAAAGTCAGCGTTAATGGAAGGAAAAATATCATTGATTTACATTTCACTATTCAAACAACCGGTTTAAATGTATTTAGTTCATGCATGTGTTTGCACAAAGATCAGAAATTGATATTACAATGAAGAAAAGATATATACCATAACCTGGAAAATCGAATTGATTGCAAAGAGCTGCGAGCTTTACATCCTCTGGAGACAGTGTGTCTGTGTGTAAGAGATATAAAAGAGGGAAAAAGAAAGGATATAAACAGATTAGCACCAGTAATGAATACAGAGAGGAGGAAGAGACACTGAGCAGCAGAGTCCAGAGAAGCTATAGCCAGTCATAGAAGGAAAGCTGCTGCTCTCAGAACGCTGAAAAAGGCAGCAGGGAGGCTGAGGCGGTGGAATTTCATTTGGCAACCTGACAGCGGTGCATAAGCAGGGTCAGATTTACTAAACATTAGACCTTCACATAATGTTAGTACAACAGCTGAGTGAAGAAGAACCGTGGCTGGGCTGCACTGCCATGGTTTAATTTAAGGTTTAACTGTAATTGAATTTGACATGTTGGATGAAAGATCTATGGCTGGCAGTAACAGAGATTACAGCAATTAAAAGTACAACAAAACTAAAACATTGAAGTTGGAACATAGCAATAAAAACTCATCTCATGTGGAGATAATCAGTGGTTTGCTCCACTTTGTTATTTTAGGTTTTATGCTGGCTAAATAACTGACTCAAAGGTTTCCATGATTTAGCAGGAAACCCCCTAAATCAAATAAACTCAGCAATTTGAGTTAATCAGACCAGTTGTATCTAATTTCTATGTTTTCTTTAAGGAACAGTCCTTTTTAATCCCAACTGTCAGAAAATCAAGATTCAATTTAGATCTAACTTCTGAATGAAAGTCATCAGTGGATTAACCACAAATTGTTTTTGTGTAAACCAATTGAACCCCTGTTTGTGCATCCCAGCCTAAGTGATTATTATCAAGAGGAGAAAGCAGAAGAGTGCAGAGACTGAATTTTGGCTGGATTTACACAAGCACCAGTGAAATTATCTGTAAAATCTGATCATCCTATGTTGGCCAAAACTTGGGAGAAACCATTTACATATGACTTTCCCTGTTTCAGACAGCAGAGAGGAAATATCTTCATAGAAAAGTGAACATGTGTTTGTGGCCCAGGGTGGGTTTGAGAGAGCTTGCCTGCAGGTGGACCTGTGCCATGTTTAAGTTGATGAGAGGGCCTGTGTTGGCCATAGCACTGGCTGTGTCTCTATGGCTGCCACATGGCTCCCAACACATGGGGTCCCTGTCTCCAGACACTACATGCAAGTTTCCTAGAGACCTGACCAGCCTGGTGTGGCTCAGGGAGCTGGCAGAGAGAAGGAAGTGTTAATTTCCTCCATAAGGACCCACGAGTGGCTATAGCCTCTTGGCTGCTTAAAAAAAAAATCAACTTCACATAAAACATCAAAAATATATTCAAGTATTGCATTAACACAACACTTCCCTGAGTAAGGAAATAAATGGCAAATATGAAGTATTTAAATTCCACATTGAGGGCTGAATAATTTATATGCAACTGGCTGATTCAAAAAAACAATTGTAACTCAAGATCAAATCATCTCTTTCTAAGTTTTCCTTATCACATGACCAGTTCTACACATGATGGTCTCATGACCACATATCTGCCATCTCAATGAAAACTGAGTATACTCCATTCATTCACAAAGACTGAGATTTAAACGATAAATATAATAGGTGGAACTTAAGCCAGTTCTAGTTTTTTTCACATCTTCTTCACATTTAAATGTAGAGACACAAAAAGGTATCCAGTGTCCAATCTAGGTTTTATTTCACTTGCTAAATCCAAGATTTTTTGTATGGTATATAAATGAAAATATAAGGGGTGAATGTGCCACTGACCTTCCTCCGCTGGCGGGCAGTGAGGATCTGGTCCTCTTCCTGCTGTCTGATTGGTCAGACAGAGCCAATGGGTTGCCGCCCTGAACACTGGCCTGCAATATGACCCTGCTGCAGAAGAGATATGTGATTCATTAGTCTGAGCCACTGTATGTAAGAGCGTAGATATGCATGTTGTGTGTACACTGCAAAATCTACCTTGGGGACTGTGATGATGACCTGGTGTGGATTTTATTCTCTTCTTGTCTGTGAAAACACAAGTAACACAACAGTAAAACATGTGATTCAACTTATTCATTGAGAGATCTTAGAAAGATGACAGGACAGAGTGGAGGCAGAGAAGTAAAATACTGTATGCAGATGAGCAAGGAGGTTTTAAAGATATTGATAGTGCCTAGTACTAGACTCCTGGTACTAGGATGCGTTAAATGCAGAGGCCAAATGTCACTGTGTGTGCTGTGTGCTCTGCATGTGTGACCATTAAAGAGGGTTTCATCCCTCCAATTCTATTCTATTCTACGGCCTGTGCACAGATCGTTACTGCAGCCTTAGCAGCCAGATATGATTATTAAAGCCAAGTCATACCAGGGGAAGCCAGCAGGTGACACTAAACAACTTAAAAGGAGACTTGATTTGCATTTTCAGTTTTCATTTTCATCAAGAAAGCTTAACTGTCTGGCAGGATTACATTTGAACAGTTAGCACTCAAGTCAACACAATAACCAGCCAAGCATGATGTTTAGAATGACATGATGATGGACACAGTAAGATAAAATCATTATGTACAGAAAAAGGTCACAATGACAAGACAGTAGCCTCTGATGTTTTAGATTTTAAATAACTGGCTCTGCTCATCAGCTTTAAGTTTACTGTACTTGCAAAAGCAATAAAGATGATCATTTGAACAAATGTCTGATTTGGGTTGGGAGTTTAAAAAAAGAGACTGGGGCTCACTTACAGCATTCTCAGTTAGAGCTCCAGAAGGGGGGCAGGACAGGTTTTTGGGGGCTGACGGGCGGTAGAACTCATTGAAATCCTAACCCGTCTATACAGAAATGCAGGATGGAAGAAGGGAAGCCATACACAATCCACCACAGGGCAAGGCTACACAGGGAGGAGAGCAGCATGGCTACCAGCCATCTGAAAGGAGGACAAATCCAACAACAAGAGCAAACGGAAAAAAGGGGAAATAAAAGGAAGGAGAGACAAGAGACGTCCGGGCGGGACACAAAGCCTTTGATGTTCTGCTTTTCCACTGAGACTGGATTAGATGAACTACCTTTCAAAGAGCCTTGCATCCAACTAGCCAGTCAGCAAGTTCTTCTTCTTCACTTGCTCTGATGTGTAAGCACTTTGCTTTAAACTTTACACTCAACTCATGTGAGAATTTCGAAGTAGATGAAACTTTTTGAGAGCTTTTAAAACAACCATACAATTATTTTAAAAGCTTTTGAAAAATATATAATATGTAGTAGTTATTCTACAGTTGGAACTAACAGTATTTGTCAAATAACATTAAATATCCAGTAGTAACATTTGCTTATAATAAAATGACACTAAATAAACAACTTCAATTGAGTATAGTTTTGATAAAATAAAACAAGTTGCCAACTTCTTGTAAACTGATGGACAGACATTTCTATCAAATATACTAAGATGGCTTTGAGCACCAGGAAAAGCGCTATATAAATCAAATGTATTCTTATTCTTATTATCCTTATCTGTGAGCAAATAGTGGCTGATACAAGCCAGCCAATATATAGATCGGGCTCTAATATTAAAATAATTAACTACCATTATTACATTTTATTCCAGAGACGGAGCGTTTTAATACAAGCTGGCAGACACAGGAACCTGAAAGGGTACACAAAGCTCGGATGGTATGTGCACACTGATCCAGTCACAGAAGCAATGGAAAAACAACAGGCAATAGACAATGAACCCGGCCCAACATTAGTTACATGTTAGACACAAACACAGATCGAACAAAGAGGCATGTTCATGCGCGCATGTCCAAGGGTCTCATGCCTGTTGCCATGCATGAAGAGGCAGAAAAGAACGCTTTCAGATAATTGTCGTTCTTATCATCGCTGGAATTGAACATGCACGTCAGTATTACTTAATAAACAAACAGTGGAGCCAGATGGTGAAGTTCAGCTGGAAGTAAGAGGGATGTGTAGCAGCGCATAATCTGAAAAGCCAGATTTCTTGTGCGAACAAATCTCTATTCTGCCTCAACTCCCTCCTGAGGACGGATATAAAGCCATTTTCTACATCCCTCTACCTCCTGAGGAGCTAACCTGTGTATTTAAAATAGAATCATGTGTGATTTACCAATCCCAACAATGCCATTTAAATCCGCTTATTATTTCATAAAAACACCCCAAGAAAAGATCATTTTAACAACAAAGTACTCCTTGATGTTTCCTAAAAACACCTACAGCTATATGATTGAGCAGGCAAGTTAGCTTCTTAACTAAACAAGTACAAACTGCTGATCAGAACCAGGACCAAGTTTCCCTCGCCAACATTTTCTCTTGAGACGTGCCAAGTCAGCAGTGCAAGCCAAGCACTAAACCATTAAATTCAACTAATCCAGATCCTTTGTTAAACCGTGATTAGTTGAATAATTGGTGCCATTGTTAACAAGTACAGCAGGCTCAATGAAAGAGCTTTACTGTAACACTGGGATAAGCCTTGATATCAAAGCAGATCAGCTCAGTGTGTCCATGACAGGCACATAATGCAAGGCATGTAAATGTAATGCATCCATAAGTGCATATCCACACCATAGTCATCCAACGAAAGACAGAAACAAAAAGAAAGAAAAAAGAAACAACCTCAAAATCAGCCATACCATACACTGGCATAGCAACCATTTCTACAGGAAGAGGAAGGCAGCTAATAAGGAAGTGATGTAAACTTACCTCTGTCATACAAAACCTCACATCCTCTCTCTGTTTTTCCTCTCCCCCACTCTCTCTCTCTCTCTCTCTCTCTCTCTCTCTGCCACTCTCAGCTATCTTTTGAATGGCAGGCAACACATCGGCCACAGCGTGCCCATGAGGTTGCAGCAGAACACTACCACCTGCCTGACATGGGACAACAAAAGCCAAAGCCACATGGGTACATTGGCAGAGGCCAGTCAACCATCCTCAGCCATGTGACACCCAACCTTCCACGGCTGAATTACATAGGCACAAATGATGTGGAATTCATTTAGATAGAGAAGGACAAAATCCAGTATTAAATTTTCTATTCATATTTTTTTTTAAATAACTAGACAGCAACAAGCCATTGGCCTTTATAGCTTACTAAATGGTTGGAGTTTAATCCCATTTATTTAAATATTGCTTTTTTTATTTTAATCAAGGCCTGTTCCCTTCTGCAACATAATGGATGTCTATTTGTTATCCTAACAGACACATGTAATAAACCACTTTTCATTATTTTCTATCAATGTATCTGTACAATACAGATTAAAGTACTACATTTTGGCATGGAGGGCTATGGAAATTGTACTATATAACAATTTTAATATTCTTCCATACTCTTTACCCCTGTTTTGTTTTTTATAAATAGCACTAATAATTAAATAATTGATTACATTAATGCACAACAATATCTTTTTTTTTTTTTTATTACTGCCGATTTTTATTCCATTCCATTGCAATGTAAATAATGTTATATTATATTTTACTATATTTTGTATTACTTTGTATATTTTTCTAGTTCTCTACCTGTGTTTTTGATTCTTGTTTTACTTGTATGTATGCACCACGACACCAAGTCAAGTTCCTCGTACGTGTAAGCCTACCTGGTAATAAACCTGATTTTGAATAAAAATCTGCCTCAAGACATTGTGACATGATGTTATGATAACCTGGAGCCCAAGCTCTATATTTATACTGGCTATATATTTAAATGTTTTCATCTCTGACATTCATTAATTATCAAATCCTGCAGTTAATCTAACTCATAGATCACATGCTTTAATTCCACATCTTTTGTGCCTTTCTAAATCCAGATCTCAACAGATTGTGTATCAGATAACTCCATCAACTCTATCACTCGCTCTGCCTCTTAATATTTGACGACTTCTGCCTTGCTTTAATGTTCATCCTCGTCATTAACAGATTAGATACAAATGTGATGACTTACATTGATCTGCATGTCATGACAGTCAATCAAAAGAACAATAAGAGGACACAAAGACAGAGTTATTGAAAAATTACAGGAATGTGTCCTGGTTCCTCAACTTAAATATAAAATGCAATAACGGGATAAAACTGCCATGGTAGGAATAAAGGAGAGCAGACCTAACAGATTAGTCTGACAAAACTGTAAACTTGTAATGATCCAAGAGACTGCCAAGGAGTGGCGTTGGTCATTTGACGGTACGACAGCACACAGGTGTGATGCATGATGGGACCTGCATACTTACGATAGTGAACCTGAGGATGATCTGGCCTGCCTCTTGCTCTTCAGGGCTCGCAGTTTATCACCCTGTGTAAGGCCAGTCCTCTCCTCATCATCATTATACTGTAAAACAAAGAACAATTTGTGGTTACAAAAAAAAAAAAAAATTCAATAAAAAATCTTCTGCTTACAGAAGTACTTTCAGTTCATTCCGCAGTCTGTACCTGTGAGCATGGCAAAGGAGTGATTTGTAAACTCACCAGGTCCATTTCCTCTTTATTGGATGCCCTGTTCTTGTTGCTCCCGTTGATGGATATGTCATCCACACCAGACAGGATCCTGGTTACAGCCGTCTTGCCATTCTCACATTCGTTTTGCATCTTCTCCCGGAAAACATCTCCTTCAGCCCAAAGACTGTTCTGCTTACTGAAGAAAAGATAAAGTAAAAAAAGACAAAATTACCTTATTTCTCTTGCCAAACAAAAAAACACCACTATTATTAACTCAATTCCTTATCAGATTCTGACTGATGAAGAGGGCATGGCTCAGTTTGGATGCGCCAATCACAATAAAGTTAAGCAACATTTGAATTGAAACACGTTGATTTAGACTGACAAACTCTTGATAAATAAAATCTAAGGAAACTATATTCTGAACTCAACTGAAGATTCTGCATGAGGGAGAAACCACTAAGATTTGAACTTAGTAACATTTTGAAAATGCTACTTAAGTGAACACCTACTCTTCAACAAAGTTCTGCTGAGGCCCAATGATGGACCCTGGCCTGCATATCCGTATCCAGGCAATGGCCTCGGCAGCACTCAGGCCGTAATGTTTCATCATGTAACAGCCAATCAGAGTGCCAGTCCTGCCCAAACCAGCTAAAGGGAAAAAAAGTGGCATGGTGTTAAATTACACAACCAACGGGACACTGAGCACAGTGTATAGATCTAGGAGTAAAACTATAATCATTCAGAATAGATTAGCCTATCCACTGCCTTTGTTGCAGTGTGACATGTACCTTTGCAGTGGACAGCGATGGCTCCTTCTGCGTTCTCACAGATGTTTAGGAACTTCCTGACGATGGAGTCGTTTGGCGTGCTCCCGTCCACAAAGAACAGATCGTGGTGCTCAAAGCCAGATTCAGTGAAACGCCTGGCGTCATACATCTTTTTGTTGAGTCTGATGACAGCGGTGATGTTGTGATTCCTGAAGTATGGGATGTATGCCTCAGGAGCGTGTAAAGGATACCCTGAAATAAAAAAACGAGGTCAATATGTATAAAGATTAGGCCAGATGTCCTTTTTTTTTTAAGGTAACTTATAGATGTAAATGTTATTTACCATTCTCTATTTTGCTCTTTGGATGAGGCCCGCTGAACGCAAGGAACTTTCCTGGAATGATCCAGTTTAAGTCTCCATTTTCTGCCCTCTCATAGTGCTCATATTCTTCCACGTCAAAGTTGGAGAAGTCGAGCCAGCCGTACTGCAGAGCCTGGCAGGGGGGAGAGAGGAGAGTTCATTCCAAGGGAGCATGACACAGCAAAATAGAAACGTAATTACATCTTAATATGACGTACCTTGTGAACACCACGAAGGCAGTCTAGGATATTCAGATTGTACATGCAGGATCCAAATGACGCATCTCTGAAACAAAAAACATGAGTCTTTTTTAACACAACACCCAAACAATATATTTTTCCATTTACGTAAACTTTAGCAAAAATATCAACTGCTATCCCACCTACCCTGCTCTTTTAATGTTTTGTTTCTTCTCTTAAACACTTTTACTTAAATTCAACATGATATAGTAATATATAAAAAATTAAGCGTTCTTGGTCTGGCAATCCCTGAGCCTTTTTCTTAGGTTGCAATTCAATCTAAACAAAGCTGGTTAAAATAACATTGTGGCTTTGTTTTTAAAATAACTCTCTCAAGTAACACATTTGACGAGATATATGCACTATTTTTCCAAATTTCAGAAGCAGCATATTTAAAAAAGAAATTAAGGATTAAGATGGAAGCATACGTGAAGCTTGGTAACTTGTTTCTAACAGGTTACGGCAAAACAGATCAGTCTGCTCTGATAATGACTTTGTTGTGTTGTTCACTGGGTTAATGTGAAATATACAGTACAGTAATAGTTACCTGAATGGAATATAGGTTGAGTTCCTTGACACAAGCAGACTGTAGGCATCCTCCGGCATCATGTCTAGATTCATCACCTGTTAAAAACATATCTCCAATCACTAAGTGCCTCTCAGGTTAAAAGCTGATATCATTATACACATATTATTCCACTTACTGCATATGAGCCAATGAGATAGGCAGCATTGGCTTGCTTCTTCTGATCTCCACAGGTGTAGAATATGATCTTCTTCCTTGAGAGTGTAATAGACTGTACAAAGATATTCAGAGCATCAGTATGAACTGACATGTGATTAAAAAATATATATTTTACATACAAATGTATAATACTAAATTATGACATTGCAGTTACCCACAGTGGCTTGAAAAAAAAGTAAATTCCTCATCGGACTTTTAACCCAACTTAAAACAAACAATGACTTTTTACTTGCATTTTACAGATATTATAGCTTTAAATATAACTGTAAAAAGTTGAAAAGTATTACTAGTAAATGATGTGCAAAAAAAACATACCTCTACTTTATTTTGTCTACTGGAAGCATAAATACATTTTTGATAGACCTGGCTCTATGGATCCTATTCTCTCTTCCAGGTAGTACAACTAAGATCTACGGTTTACTTTACCTTGAGCTTCTTTGTCAGCTTGCAGCTGAAGCGATAAAACATGGCCAAGTTAAGGGGACCAAAGTCCGCATAGAAGCTGAGAGAGGGGGGAGAAGAAGAAGAGTGTGTCAGAGTGGCTATTTACGCAACCGGCTACAGTCTCTGGGGAAGTTTCATTAGATGGAACCAGCTACCTTACACTGAAACAGTAAAACCCCTGACAAAGTAAAGTCTATTTTTAGAAGCATCTGATGCTGTAATAGGTCACTCAGAACAGGACAAAATGCTGCAAAGACATGAGTATTTGTTGTACCACTGGCACACAAATAGCTCTAAAGGTCGGTCAGGTTCTCTTCTCATGCCAATCTAACACCAGCCCATTCAAACAGCCATGCCCTTGAAAAATGTGCCATTACTGGTTTAGTGAGCCTTTCGTTGTTTATGTTGTTTTGGTTATTTGGATCTATTCCAACAGTTAAAGGAGGCATTTAGTTTTAACAATCTTTCTTTATTTTAGGAATAGTATTGCTTCCTTTGAGGAAACACATCTGAATATGTTGGATAACTTCATACCAACGACTTCTGCAATCAATGCTAGAATCACTGCATCTACTCATGGTTGAAATGATATACTATAAGTTACTACAACGGTGCATAATAAAGGTATAGGCATTGCAGACTTATAATGTCAAAGAAGTGCAAAGGTCAGGTACAAAGCACACACATGTCACAGCAACGAGCTAAATGTGCATGTTCAGGTTGCAAAGATGGGATGAGACTGAAAGCTTACTTCTCATATGCCAGCTCTTCATCTATGCAGAAACAGTGTCGATCAGCTGTGCTCTTGATCTTTTGCTTTAGAATGGCGAAATACAGTTGATCTGGGGAGGGAGGGGGGTGGGTGGGGTAGGGAGACAACATAAAGAGGCAGTTAAATACTTGCTTTTGTCATGCACATAAACTTCTGTGGTCTCTAATTTCCCCTAGCCCGGGACCCCTTTTACTACTCCATTCATTTTTCTCGCGACTTACCCTTGACAAACTCCATGCATCTTGACGAAACATCGTCCGTGGTCATCTTGTTCATAGCTCTGAACATGTTTGTTTTGCAGAGAAACGTACGAGGTAGATTTTCTTTACGACGAAGACTTGCGCATACTGAGTAAAACTTCCACGGTTAGTGTACGAGCTGATTAAAAAAGCTATACGTTAAAAAGTAACAGTATAACACAATCGTTTTCAAATCTGATTTAACAATCCGGGACAAAAAGTTAACAGTCAAAGAGAGAAGAAGAGTTTCGATTGCAAGTGCGCACTCTGCAAAAAAAAAAAGATCTCTACCGGACTCCTCCCTTCACTGATCGGCGACACGCTATTGGCTGCGAGATATCCAGGCCGCTACATGATTAGAGGAACGGCCTGCCAGTCTTGCTCAGCCTCGCCTCTTTTAGTTTAAAGTTCTCTCCATAAGACATATGATAGGCCCCGGAACGTTGCCCAAACGGTTGCTAGGGCGATCTCCCAGCCAATCAAATACGCGATTTCCACTTCGGCGAACCTCCTTCTCTGAGATTTGAGCTGCGCAAGGAGGGTGAAGAACAAAAACCAGGAAAACGCCATGAGAAAGACAGTGTCCTAACTATAATACACACTAATACACCACTCCGTCTCTATGCATAGCCCATTAAGATATGATGGTGCAGACAAAGCGAAGTAATGGTGTAATTTGCTTCCTCTAAAATAAATAGCCTACCGGAGCAGGAAGTTATGATAATATTATGCATATTTGCACACAACACAAGGCAAACCCAGTACATTGACGATTAAACGACAGCCGAATGAGCTGATGTCTTTATATTCGATGGAAGACTTTCTAACACACCCTGCTCATTTAATGACATGCATCTTTCAGTGGGCGTCCTTGTCATATTTGCAGAGTAGGCCTTAAGTTGACAGGGTTCACCCTGCAGGCCCCTTACCTGTTATATCAGTGTAAACATCAGAGGTTGGCTCCGCCTCTGAGCTGCTGAGAGCTGCACAGCGCTTTTTCCTCGACTCGGCTCTTCTCCTCTCGCTCTTGCGCTTCATGTTCGTGGCTGCACGGAGGACATTCCCGGGCAGCAGCAGCAGCAGCAACAGAAGACCTCCTTGGGTTCGCAGTGCGGCGGCGTGTCCCCGGTTTGTTGTTCTTATGGCATGGTCTGGGGATGTATGTGTGTTGCAAATGTGTCAAGGTGTCAACTGAGGTCCCGCCGTCTGCTCCAGCCTCTCCGGTGGTGCCGGTGACGTCTGAGAGCAGGGGCAGGTTTCTGCTCTCTGAATCTCATGCACGTGACGTATCAGGATTAGATGCACAGCTCCCACCCTCCACTGTTCATCTTCTGCAGCTGGAGATAACGTGGGGAATGTAGTCCTAGGTGATCCCATTGGAAATGACTGTGGGAAGACCATGTATTAGGTCTGCAGTGTGCATGTGGATAACATGAGACAACACAGATGAGCAAGGAAATTGCAACAAAACTTCACTTGCACTTGTATGTAACCCCCCCACATACCCCAAAGACTACAACACTACTGTTGTAACACTTGTGTGCTATATGTAAATTGAAAAATGTATTACAAATGCTACTTGTAAATTGGAATCACTTAATAATGTTTTTATATTATGTGCATGCCCTTTATCTAATAGTGTTTTATTTGTTGCGGTAACAATGTAAATATCCCCTCTGTGGGACGAGTAAAGGTATTGTGATTCTGATTCTGAACACTTATAAGAGGATAGTCTAAAAAAAAGTACATTCTGTAATAAGGTAATCACTGACAGAAATGCACACGTTGTTTTAGAGTTTTATTACTAGCCTACCACACATAACCATCTTAAAATGATGAGAATAACCTAATAGAAAAAGTAGACATTTGTATAGTAATGACTCTGCATATGCACTCAATCAAAACATAATTTATGTATTTGAACAAAACCTTTACAACAATGACCACAATGAGCTCTTTTATTCTCAAACAACATTACATGTTCTTCATTGGCAGAACAACTTTGCTCAGTTCATTTACTGGCTTTCACCTTCATCAGCACATGAGAAGCTCTGGAAATACTAAGAAGACCTTGAATAAAGCCAAGAGTTTTAGAGAAGACTTGTGTTTCAGACCTCACCTATCCAATATGTTTGGGAGAGCAGAAGAGCAAGTACAGACTTGATTAAAAAAACAAACAGACTGAGTATAACTGAGACACAACTATGTTTTATAAAATGATGATGCCCAAACAGTGATGAAGAATGAAGCATGCTTTCAAGCAGACCAGCTGGCTACACATGAATGATTGTTGGCTTATCACTGAAGTCCAGAGTCTGTTGAACCCCTGCGAGCTGCAGGAGCCAGTTAATGGGCATGTGGTCCAGGCGGTTCATGTCAGAATGGGAAAAATGAACCTGAGAGCCTGTAGAGAGAAGAAGGAGTGGGCAAGGAAACGAGAAAGTAGTTGAGGCAGAGACAGACCTTGAGCACAATACAATGAAACAGAGAGAGTCAGAATTACCTGGTCCTGCGATGATGGCTCCACCTTGTTGATGTAGGTCACCCTGGAAGTCGAATGCAGGGCTAGTCATGGCCCTCCATACACTCTTCACTTGCCCCATAAAGACACCAGACTTCACATGGGGACTGGGTTGGGCTATGAACATAAACACCAACCCACACACACACACACACAGATATATTTATGTTAATAACATCTTAACATATGCAGTGTTTATTTCCTCATATATTGGATTTACCTGAGTCTGTACATTTCTCC